GCCTCTACTCTGACCAGAGCCATTTCTAGGAGCTTTAAACCAGAGGACTTATCCTGGGCCAATTTTCCTTTTTTTTTTTTTTTTATATTCTCTATTTTTCTGGGGAAAAAATTAACTATGCAATTGTATACACTCCTGAGTGCTTACTAAGAAGAGGAATAAGTGTACTTAAATGTCCACAGTGTTAATTGGGGCTATTTTTCTGTATTTAGATTTCTCTTGAAGTATGTACTCATAAATCATCCCCTGGAATGTAATTAATACATATGACCTAAGGCACATGGGGCTGAGGGTAGATTGGAGTAGAGAGGGTACTCTTATATGTGTGTGTTCCTTTTCTCCATTCAAAAAAGGTTTTATCCTGTTTTCTCCTTGGTAACACTAGCCAAGAGTACACTTTTTATTGGAATTGCAGTTGGGAAAGGTTTCTTTCTCCTCAATACACTTGAAAGTCACTTTCCAGATCAAATAGTCTATTGATGTAATTATTTCCTGTGGCTATTAAGTCTTAATGCTTTTGTGGACATAAAGTTGTAAGGATGTAGTGAGATAAAGAGATAGGTCCCAAAGGGGAAGTCTGTTTCTGGGTAAAGCTGAGACTAACAGTAAAGTCTTTTTGCTGTCTAGTTCATTCACACTATCCCATAGTTTCCAGGGTGAATTTTTACAGAAGCAGACATCTTTCCCAAAATGTAAAGACACCAAAAAGCTCAGTAATCAAAATAAGTACTACTTTAATACAGTATTTTAAGAAATAATGCAAAAAGAAGGGGAGGAAAATCCATGGGGAAAAAAATTAAAAGGTAAGATCTGAAAGAACCAGAAACATGCAAGAAAAATGAGGCTGATCAAAGCAAGTGTGGAGTTGAATCCTGCATTTAACATTTTGGCATTGTCGTGTAATTCTTTTTTCATTTGATTTGATTTGTTTAAAAGTATTGCATTCAAACAGTATTTTACTTGATGTTTTGGTGTTCCCTAAATTTTGTGCTCACAGCTTTGCTTTCCTCACCCTGGTCCTAGCCCTGTTTCTAGAGTAAGAACACTGATGAGACTTACCACCATCCTCAGCCCCAACATACACACAACAGGAGGCTCAAACGCACACCTCGAAGATGGTGGACTCTGCCTGGCTTGCCTTTAGGCCTCTATAACATAGGATTCTGACCTGGACCAATAGGAATGGAAACACATCAGGGAAAATCTCCCAGAAAATAAGACCAGGAAATTTTTGTGTTCTCTGCACTGCTGTGTTTGGATTTGATCTGTTACTAGATTGTAGTTGATATTTTTGTTTAATGAACAAAAACAGAAACATTGTATCATGTTTATTTTTATTTATAAAATAGTCCCAATTCCTTTTGCCCTCTTTAAAAAGTTACAATTCTGTGTACTCTAGGAGTATGGTAAAATAGGACTTTAGACACCCCTTAGATTGGTTTTTGTGTTGGGGTTTTTTTTAAGAAAATTTTTTTTATTTAGGAAGGTAACTATTTCTTGAGGCATTGAAATGAATGATACTGTTCTATGGGGAAGGAGTGGAGTTTTATTTTGCTTTATTATTTTTGGGGGAGTGGAGGTGGGGAGGAGTTAAGAAACAATGCCTGAGGAATTAAGACAGACTTCTTGTGATATTTTGCAAGCCTAGGCAATTACTGTGTTGAGGAGAAGGGAAAGAGGGATATATGGCATAACTCAAAATGGGCAGAAACCCCTTAGGAAAGGGGGAGGTGGATTCCCTAACTCTAGATAAGGGAGTGCTAAATTCAGGTTTAAATAAGTGCACTTAGTTCTTTCTAATCAAGGGCGTCTGAGTCCCTAATGATGGACTGTAAGGAGGTGGGGACATTTCCAGGCGTCTTAATTTCCCCCTTTTTGATCAAGACTGCTAGCCTCTCCGCTTTCTATTTCTCCACCACCAGCAAAGCAAGAAAGGAACTGGTAGTAGGATGGACGTCCAGGTTATTCCCTTAGCCCAACCTTGTTGATTTCATTGAGTTGCAAGATTTAACCAAAAGAGATCTTTTTCTTTTATACTGCTTCAATCAACCAAATAAAGGTTTTTAAAAAATTTTATCCAATCTCTATGAAGTAGGGTGGTGGTGAACTCAGCAATGTGTTAGGCTTGGAAGAGAAGTACCCTCTCTCTTGCTGACTCAGTTTGTTTTTAAGAAACTAAATTAGCTCAGACCAGTAACAAAAATGAGCAATGACTTGGAGTTGTACATTTGGGGAATGATTCTGAGACCCAAAGAATGAAGCTGGTTCTCTCCTTTGTAAACAGCCACATGTCCAACGTTCCAAGCACTGGGGTTTTGTTTTGTTTTTTCTTTTCCTAGAAAAGGAGCACTTAGAGATGATTGTCCTGAGTTACTTAAGCACTTCTGGACTCTGCTCTTTCTCTAAAGAGTCTCCCAGATGTCCAACCGCAGGTGGGAAGGCAGTCTTGAAACCTTCTTCCTGACCTGAAATCAGCTACAACTCCCAATTTTTCTCATTTTCTCTTTCTCTCCAAGCCCTTCAACTGCTGATTCAGTGAGTCACACACTCTTTCTCATACTTTGCAGATATCCAGTCTGCAAATAAAAGGGTATTTTGCCCCTATACTTAAGTTGATTAGCATATTATTTATTATAATGTCCCCATATAGACTTCGTTCTTGCCACCAACCTTCACTGAGAGAGGGCGGTAACGGAAGCTGGTGGACAGTAGCTGAGAGGAGTAAGGATGGGGAGGACCTTGGCCTCTTTCTGTGTTTATAACTGGATCAGTGACTCATGCAGTGAATCACTGAGCTCCACCTCCCTCCTCCAGCTACCCCTCCTAGCAGCCTTCACTCCTGGCACAAACTTGCAACCAGACCAGGATTCTGAAGATGGAAAATTCTGATACAGTTTCTTGTCTCTCCACCCTTATTTTCATCCGTAAAGCCCCAGTTAGTGGGCGTGTCTTCGGAGAAGAGAGGCAATCCTGTTTCTTAACCTTCAGCTGCCGTCTCCTTTTGCCTCCCTGTTGGAGGCTGATCCAAATCACCCAATTTATTTCTCCCTCTAACTTTCTCCTATTTCTCTGTATTCCTCCAGTGCTCCTACACCTCTGAGTTTTTAAGAATAGAATGAGGCTCTTACATGAAGGGTGGTGGGAAACAGGACTAGGGATAAAAGTTCAATTGTGGCACACATCTTTTTCAGTGCATTTATTTCTTATTTTAGCAGACCTTGGGAAGAATTCTTTTCCCCCAAGAGGTTGAGGCACTGAAATGCAGGGGCAAAGAATAGGGGGTGGTGCTGGGGAGCTTTTAGGACTTCTAGAATCTTTCTGGCAGGTGTATGTCTTTTCGGTCCAGACTGTTTTTAAGTCTTCATTATTTCCATGGTTGCAGCCAACACAGGAGACTCAAAGCTGGAGGCCGGAAGGGTGTGTGTTCTGGGGTGGGGGGTGGAGAAGTGGAGTATCACTTTGGGCCCCCACCTAGACTGTTGCCTCTGTATGGACTCAAGAACAATAAAACAGCAGCTGATTTAACTTTTTCTTCTATTTCCTGGTGTTTTTTTTTTATTTCTAAATATAGACTTTGGCATTGCTACCCAGACGCCCTAAACTGCAGTTCTCTCCTAGTGCCCCTCCACCCTTCTTCTACTCTGCATGTAAAGTTGCGGCGAACTGAGACTGGAGTGTGGGATTTTGAGCTGAACAGCCCTCAGCTTTCAAAGTCCTAAACATAAATAATGAATACGAAGATCTGGTGTCTAGGTTGGAGGGGGAGGAGTCCTTTACCTGGAATGGGCTTTCATTTCCAATTGGCTGGTAATGTGTGAGGTGAAGGAAAGAGAATAGCACCGTTAACTCAAGGTGCATTTCATGCTTTCTGTAGAGGGCATTAAAAAACAAAAACCTGTTTCCCTCCCCAGTTCTTAGGCCTTCCCTGACAAAAATCCCTGAGGCCCAATTTACATTTATTTCACTTCCTCACCTACTTTTGCTCAGTTTGTCAAAAGGAGGCATTCCACCTTCACTTTGAAATGCACAAAAAAGAACTGAGCTTCCCATTATTGAAAACACAGGTGGCCCAAATTTTCCTTTGGCCATTGTTATTATTACTGTTCCCATCAGATAGTGTCCAGTATTCATGAACAGGAAGAGAACGGGATCTGGGATTGAAGACAAGAGTCTGAGCACTTTTTTCCTGGTTTCCCATTTCCCCTCCCCTTTCTTAGGCTCCTCTACTTTCCCTTTTTCTAAATTGTGTGTGTTCCCCTTTAAGGGGCTGGGCGTCTCTCCCGCCCTCTCCTGAGTCGACTGAAGTTTCGGTGGAGCCAGCTCTGGGCAGACACACCTTCAAAGACCCCTGTTTGTCCCCAGTCGGCTTCAAATGTTTCTTTGCCTAGTGCCCTTCCCTCTGCCCCTGTCCCCGGCTTCCCTCTCCTTAACTACGAGATTCAGCCTCTTCCCAAAGGGACTGAGCATCCTCCAGGTTTCCCACCCTTAATTGCTCCGTCCCCGGATGGAGCCGGGAAAATGTGGTGGGGGGGCCGGGGCCAGAGTTTCAACATTGCCCCCCAAAAGGAGGAGCCAGAAATGGGGGTAAGGAGAGGGAACCTCTTGGGCGTCTAGTGGGTAAGAGGTTGTGAATGGGATTGGGGAGGGTATAGAGGAGGACGACGAAAAGGATCTGGAGAAGAAAGGTGTGTATCAAATCAACTTCTGTTGATGGAGCTTGGTCTGCCTTTTTCTTAGTCTCAAGTTCATTGTCTCATTATCCATTAACCAGCACCTCCCTTGACTGTCTGCCAACAAGTCCTGAGCTCCCCGTAGGCATGGATCCCAGTTTCCCCCAAATCTGAATGTCGGCCTTTGACTACTGAGAAAATCCCAAACCTGTGCTGGGGAGGCCTGGGATTTACCCTGCACCATTCTCAGTTTTCCCAACCGAAATCTGTCCAGGGGAACAGGATGCCGCAGCACAGGGCTGATCAGCTCGGCAGTTGCCTGGCCTCTGGATGCCTCCCAGGTAATATAATACCCTCCCATGTTTTTGACTTCTAAATGGACCCCTAAACTTTCATCCTTTCATTACAAAAATACTTCTGTATTCCTCTCCTGGTTCAAAGTGCTGCTTGAGGCTCGAGCTCTTCTCTATCCAGAACTGGCTGGGAGGTTGAACCCTAATTATTTTCTTGCTTTCCTGACTCTCTTACCATTTCTCTCATTTAATAAATACTTGAGTGCCTGCCTACTGTGTGGCGGATAACCTTTGTGTGCTCTAAGGTTTCAGAGGTTTAAAAAAACCATAAATTCTCTTAGTAAGCTTACATTCTAGTGGGCTGGGGAAAGCGCTTACTCTTTCCTATATCATTAGATCCTCCTACATCAGAGGACATAGGTGAGTAAACGCTTGCTCACTTATTCACTGCCATCGGAGGCAGAACCCACTCATAGCTGATCTTCCATTGGGTTTCTAATGCTGTAAAATGCGTAGGAGGAAATGGCTCACCTTTCTCCTTAAAAGAAACTGGTGGGTTTGAACCACAAGAAGCATGGCCTTTGGGTTAGCAACGCAGTTCCCTATGAACCGCCACCAGAGGTCTCCAGTGAGCATCACGGGGAGTAGTTTAAGCTGTTTTCCCTCTAGGGGAGCAGATCCTAGCATGGGCCCCAGGGGTGAGGAAGGGGCTGGAACCTGAATTGCCTGGAACACTGATTTGCACCAACTTGAGGATCACCTTCCAACCTTGTGGATGGCAGCGGAGTCAGGTGAGATGATTAGGACCATGGAAAGGGCAGGTACTGGGAAATGGGCAAGGATGGCGATAACACTGAAGTGAGATACTAATCAGTGGGGGATGTTTCTAGGTCTCTGGGGGGTTGGGGAATGCCAAGGTAGGAAAAAGGTATTATCTCATGTACATATATCTTTAGCATCAGTAATTTATTTCCCCTAGGACACTCCCCTCAGCAGTGAATATGATTTTACCCTGCTCAACATTGGGCGATTAGAAGCTGGTAAGTGTGGGGGTTTAGTGGGCAGGAAGGGTTCCTTTTAGAGAGACCCTAATCCATGGTTATACTTCTCTTCGTGAAAGTTTATGAAGCAAATTCCTTTCCATTCAATCATTAACACATATTTTTAGTAACTGCTGTCTAATTCTTGACTTCAGTGAATGGCCTATCCCGAGTCCAGCTACTCCGTCCAGGGTCCTTGCTTAAATTTATCCCAGAGGAGATCCTGATTCATGGCAGAGACTTCCGGCTGCTCAGAGTTGGTTTTGAGAGTGGAGGACTAGAACCTCAGGCTTTTCAGGTAAGCGGCCCTAAATCCAAGAGGCCTCCTCCCTATTAGTCCTTTGGATCCTCTCCCTGCAGTTCCCAGCCTTCTCCCACCCTCCAGGACCCTGCTCATCACTCCTCATTTCTCTCTTCAAACAGAGAATGAAAGGCAGGGTTGGGTTGGGTTACTTAGTATGATATGTGGGCCTCATTTCTTCTTTTCACTTCTTCATTCTGAACCAGAAGGATGGGCTGTCCTTTCCTCCACAGGTGACCATGGCCATTGTCCAAGCCAGAACTCAGAATAATCAAGCCCAGCACTATTCAGGGATAACCTTGAGCAAGGCTGGTGAGTGAGGTGCTTGAGGATAGAAAAAGGGAAAGCAGAAGGTGGCTGAAAACACCTTTAGAGAGTGCTGTCTCTGATTCATCTTTTTTTCTGGTCCTCACTCCTGTCCTAGGCCAGAGTTCTGGCCCCAGAAAACCACCTATTCCCCTGTTGGAAATATTAGAAGACTGGGAGGCCGAGCGGAAGAAGCAGGGGGCCAGAGGTTGGAGGGTCAGCACTGTCAATGAGAGGTTCGACATAGCCACCAGGTGATTCCTTCGTTTACTCCAACCAGGGTTACCAATGTTCCCATTCTCTGATCCGCTAAGGCTTGAGCTCTCCATAGACTCTTTGTCTCCTACAACATCCACAAAACTATCCTTCTTACTTTCTAGACCTTAAAATCTGAGACCCCTTAGGTTACTCCCTCCAAAGCAGCTTCCTTCTAGATAATTGAAGCTTTTCACTATAATAAGGGCATTGAACACATTAAGCAGTGACATAACTCAATCTCACAGCCTTCCTCGTTACTTCTGGGTCCCTAACCGAACTCTGGACAGCGAAGTTAAGAAGGCATTTGGTCACTTCCATCAGGGCCGTGGACCGGTCAGTATGAGGGCCAGAAAAATGGCTGAGAATTAAAGGGTCATGGGAGGTCAGAGGTCAGAGTGGAGGGAGGGATCCCTATGAGCTCAGTGTCAGCTTAAGAATAGGAAGGACTGAGTTTCTTCCATGGTGATCCTTCTCTTGTCCATTTGAAGCGCCTATCCTGGCATCATCCTGGGGGCAGTGATCTTCTCCGCTGTGGTGGCTTTTATACAGCCAGTGACCCTAGCAAGGAAGATATCAGGTGAGTGAAGGTTTGAGGGAGGAATCAAGGGTTAGGTGTTCAAGACGGAGTTCTTTCCTTACTTTCTGACCCTCTCCCCTCCAGAGCAGTGGAGTCAATGCTCCAGGCTGGGCATTCAGATGTCGTCTTAGTAGACACTATGGATGAAATACCTAGTCTCACAGACATCCAACTTGCCCACTTGCGGCTTAGAGCCCTCTGCCTGCCTGGTAAGAACCTTTGGCCTCTACCCTTACCCCTAGGTCTACTGGCCCTAACACGGTTTATAACTTGCTCATTATAAACTTTCAGTCCAGTGAATCTTAGTTTTCTACTCAACTTTCATCTTGCACAAACTTAGATTTCCTTATATCTGGACTCCCAATTTAGTATATTTTAACAGCTTTCTTGACAAATACTTTACCATTAGATTCACTTTTAACCTGTTTTATAGATGTAGTTCAATTGACTGTATAAAGCCATTATTGTAGAATGAGTATAAGGATCCAAGAGGGGTGGGAGAGGTTGGAAGCAGAGGGATGAGGATGTGCAAGGAGAGGGGGGATTAATCATGAGGTTGTACAGTTTGACGGGTGGGGGTGTGAGGGAAATGGAAATAATTTGTTCTTGAAAACAATGTATTCTCGAATCTTATAAATAAACTAGTGGGGGGGATGAAAAAAATTTAAAAAAAACCAATTTAATTTTTAGAAACTTCATGGTAATTTATAATAACTTCATTTATAGTCATTCCTACCCCTATTCCTAGGCCACCACTACCCAATTTATTCTTAACCCATCAGGTTAACAGACTCTGTATCCTAAATTCTGATTTCTTTGTCCTTCTGACACCTCTACTCTCTACCAGATTCATCTGTAGCTGAGGATAAATGGCTTTCAGCCCTGGAAGGAACTCGATGGTTGGACCATGTCAGGTACTCCTTCTTCTAGCCGTGATTCATATAATTCAATTCTCCTCAGCCTTCTTCTAACTTAAGACACGTGAAAGGATCTTCCATTAACTCCTCAGTTTCTCAAGAAGATGGTTGTTTTCTTGCTTCTAGAAGGAGCATGATATTGGAGTCTGCCTCTATTCTATTTGATGACCCATCACCGTTTTTCCCTAGGTGTTTTATTACACTTCTGTCCCTTCAGGTCTTGTCTCCGAAAGGCCAGTGATATCTCAGTCTTAGTCACTTCCAGAGTTCGATCTGTAGTACTCCAAGGTGAGTTTCCTGGGTCGTTCCACTTTCCCCCTATACCTAACTAACTGGATTCTGACCAGGGAAGGAGGCCCATAAGGCTCTTTTGTCCCCTTCAAGTACTAGTTTTCTCCTTTTCAGTTATCAGAAAATGCTCATGAGCTCTAATTCTTCCCCTGCCGTGCTACCTCTGTCACCCACTGTAGATTGTAGTCCCTATCCCTAGCATTCTCTTTCCTCTGCTCCCTGCCTTCAGTCAGTGGATAGGGGCTGAGTTTGGGGAAGAGAGGGCAAAGCTAAAGTTGATTTGAAAAATGTGATTTTTAAAAAAATAAATAAATAAATAGCAATGTGATTATTCCACTTCCTACAATGAAGCTGGGGGTTTCTACCTAGGTGGATTCTATGAAGTGAGTCATTCAAGATCTTTGTTTTCTCTTCATTTCTTCTATATGCCTTCTCAACGCCATCTATCCCCAAAATATTTCTTCTTTGCACATCACTTCTCCTTGCCACCTTTCTCCTTCCCACTCTCTCCTGCCCTAGTTTCTTGGTGCCCTTTCTTTGCCCCTTCCTCCTCTTCATGACCCAGAGCGCAGTGACCGTGATCTCAATGGCCTCCTCTCTTCACTCGTCCAGCTGCTTTCAGCCCGAGAAGCCCGCACACTGCTTGGCTTCCAAACACTAGTCCAGCGAGAATGGGTGGCAGCTGGACACCCCTTCCTGACCCGGCTTGGGGGAACTGGGGCCAATGAAGAGGTGAGAAAGGTGTGGGAATATGAGGGGGGTTGTGCTACTAAAGAAAGGAAATGGGGGAAATGATAGAGAATCCATTTTAGGGCAATGAGATCAGAGGGTCCTGAGCTTAGAGAGAAACCAAAATCAGTGAGGTGCCACAGTCCCCTACTGCCTTCCAGATTCCCATTCCCTGACTCTGGTGCCCCCTTTTCCTGTGTCCTCCAGCCCTCATCATTTTGTGACCTGCCCCCTTCATGTCTTGACCATCTCTTCTAACCACTCACTTCCCTCCTCAGGCCCCAGTGTTCCTCCTCTTCCTTGATTGTGTCTGGCAGCTTCTCCAGCAGTTCCCAGCGGAGTTTGAATTCTCTGAGTTTTTCCTTCTTGCTCTTCATGACAGTGTTAGGGTTCCTGACACCCTTACCTTCCTGAGAGATACACCCTGGGAACGTGGAAAGCAAAGTGGACAAGTTAGTAACTTCCATTTTTTTGCCTCCCCCAATCCTCACTGAGAATTACTTTCTGACATTTAGGTTTGTCTTATGAGAACTGAAGTCTTGTTAGTTGGGAAAGGGAAACTTGAGGCTCATTCTCAGGCCTGGACTTTTGCTTTGTATTTTATTAGATTCTAGAGTAAAAGGTGAGAAGTACTGGATAATTTCTCTATTCAGATTTGAGGGGGGGCAGAAATATATTTTTTTGTTTACCATGCTTCTTTTTGTTTTCTCTGTCCAGTTCAACTCTTATACACAAGTCTACATACCAGGGCATCCCCAGCCCCCCACTGAGAACTCTGTTAACCAGCAGCTGTCTGTCTGGGATTGGGGTTTACGCTACAGCAAAGAACAGATACTCCAATTCCACAATCCTGGCTATGACTCCGAGCATGGCCCGGATTCCTGGCTTCCTAGTCAGCAGGTGATATGTCTATTAATTCCTAAATTTTCTTGATTTTCTGTAAGTTCATCCCACTATGGTAGTAACACTAGGTATTTTAGTTCCCCAGAGAAAGCCATTCCACCCCTCATATGCAGCTGTCACTTATGGTCCCCAATTGACCTGAGAAAGACAGAAACCCACAATAGCATAGAAGGTGTCTTTTTTGTCCCTTCTGTGTATCAGTCTGTCTTATTTTATTAACTTCCCTAAATCAACTTCAATCAGTGCTGAGGCCTAGTTTCCATTTACTCATTAGAGAGGAAGAGTTCTCAGGGAGATATGCTTATAGTTCCAGCCACTAGGACAGTAGCAGCTGATACCTCTTTTTGGCTCAGTTTGGGAAAATGAGTGGTCTAGGCTATCAACTGTTTTCTCTTTTTTTTTATAGTCAAGCTTCATGGTTCCTGGATCCCCGAGTTCAATGTGGCTCTTCTCTAGAGGAGTCCTGGCCCCCCTACATCAGCTCTGTCCTTGGCGGGACAGTCCCTCCCTGCTGGCAGTCTCTTCTCGTTGGCTTCCTCGACCTGCTATCTCCACTGAAAGCCTGGCTGACCAGGAGTGGGGGCTCCCCTCACATTGGGGAGCTTGTCCTTTACCCTCAGGGCTACTACTGCCTGGATACCTGGGACCCCAAATCAGGCTCTGGAGACGCTGCTACCTGAGAGGAAGGCCTGAGATCCAGGTGAGAAGGAAGAACAGAGATGGGGAGTGAGAGGAAAGCCCTGACTGATACACTAGATGAATGGGAGTAGCTGGGGAAGTGCTATTCCTTTAGGTTTATGAATATGGGGGGAAGATGACACAACCTTGCTTCCTGAAACTGAGGAGGACATGAGGCATTTACTATAGAAGGTCAAGGACTGCAGCCTTCAGTATGGATTGAAGCTCAATGTCAAGAAAACAAAGATTCTCACTGCGGAGCCAATTGGCAGCATTGTGATAGACGGTAAAGAGACTGAGATTGTTACTAACTTCAGCTCGCTGGGTTCCACAATGAACACTCTTGACACCTGATCAGGAAATCAAAACACAAATTGCATTGGGAAAGTCGGCTGTCAGGGACCTCTCTATAGTACTGAAGACCAACAATGTCAGTCTGGAGACTACAGTGTTCCTGATCCAGGCCATGGTCTTCACAATTACTTGCTATGCATCTGAGAGCTGGACAATAACAAAGGATGATAGAAGAAGGATCGATGCCTTTGAGTTATGGTGCTGGAGAAGAGTGTTAAACATACTGTGGACAGCCAGGAAAACAAACAGGTCTGTCCTGGAGAGGGTGAAGCCAGATTGCTCCCTGGAGACAAGGATTTTGAAGTTCTGTCTCATATACTTTGGGTCACGTGGCTGGGAGGGACAAATTAATGGAGAAGGACACTATGCTTGAAAGGGTGGAGGGACAGCACAGAAAAGGATGAGATGGATTGACTCAGTGACTGGAGAAGTGGAATTAGGTCTATCCAAGATGATGGAATTGGCTCAGGTTAGGGCAGATTTCAGAGCTAATATACATAAATAGGGTCCCTATAAGTCACAGGTGACTCGATGACACATTAACAACAACTTGTGGCTTAGATTAAGTAGAGCCTAAGGCACAGTAGGAAGAGAAAAGAATTAAAGACACTGAAGTAATGGACCTCCGAAACAAAGGACTAAAACTGTAATATTCCTTTATGCTTCATTCCCAGATGGGCCTGTCAGCTCCCACAATCTCTGACCTCCAGGACGAGCTATCCCATCTTCAGGAGCTACTAAAGAAATGGACACCAACACAATCTCCTGAAAACCACTCCAAGAAAAGAAATCCAAACAACCTTCTCTCCCAGTCCTGCTGAAACTGCTGCTGGCATTCATACAGGCAGGACAGAGGCCAGTCTGGGTTGAGGGAGGGTTCTGTCTAATCCTGATTTTTCTCATCTGGTTTTGCTGCTTCAGCTTCCACACTCCAGTCCTTAAACAGCCCTCTCAGTAGACTTGAGTTTCCATTACAGGTGGGTGGTGCTAACCTCCTCCAATTCTTGTCCTGTATGTTTTGGTTCCAGGCAGTATTTTGTTTCTCATGATTTGAAGTATCAAGACAACAAAACAAAACAAAAAAATCTATAATGTGATCTCCATTTTTTTTTTTTTTGCAGAGCAATACCACCACTTTTGGATATCAGCTATTAAATTATAAAATCAGAGATTATCATTTCCAACAAGATGCCCTAGAGACCTCATAACTTACCCTTCTTGCTGCTGCTTTAATTCCATTTAGTATTTCTTATTGTTTTCCACAAAAATGACACGGATGTGGGACACCTTTCCTCCTCCTCCTATGTATTTTTTCAATAACATTCCTATTTAAGGAGTTCATTAAAGCATGTTATTTATATACATTGCTAGCTAGCATTGTTTTTGTTGGAAGAGAGAATCCCACATAGCAAAGGAGGGGCACTAGTGGCACTGTTTTAAATGCCCTGCTGTGAACTGAAAGGCTGCCGTTGGCACTCACCAGTTCTAGAGGATGAAGATGTGGCAGGCCAACTGCCAAAAATGGACAGCCTAGGCCACCCAATATACACAGGTCTTTGCAATCACTTGTTATGCATCAGAGAGCTGGACAGTGACTAGGGAGGACAGGAGAATTTACGCCTTTGAGCTGTGGTGCTGGAGAAGAGTATTGAATGTACCATGGACTGCCAAGAGAACAAACAGATTCATCGTAGAGAGAGTTAAACCAGGCTGCTCCTTGGAGGCAAGGATTCTGGGGCTTCGTCTGACTTACTTTGGACATGTTGTAAGGAGAGACAGGTCCTTAGAGAGGGACATCATGCTGGGTAGAGTAGAGGGACAGCGCAGGAGGGGAAGACCCTCTATGAGGTGGATTGATTCAGTGACTGGGGTAATCGGGATGGGTGTGTCAGAGGCAATGAGATTGGCACAGGATAGAGCAGGGTTTAGGGCTGTTGTACATTGGGTCGCTATGAGTCGCAAACGACTCCACGGCACATAACAACAACAACAAGGCCACCCAGTAGGGAGCTCTGGTGGCTTAGAGGTAAGGAATTGGGCTGCCCATGCCAAGGTTCTAATCTACTAGCTGCTCCGCAGGAGAAACATGGGCATTCTCCTGAGCAACGTACTGGCTCTAAAAATCCCGTTGGAGGTTCAGACAACACAGTGGAGAAGATCTGGTCTCATGGAGTCACTCCAAGTCGGGACTGACTTTGGCAGTGAGCGAGGTCCCCAGAAGGGGTGGATGCAAAGTTGGTGACTGGAGAGGAAGGCATTCCCCGTGTTATTACGAGGTAGAGAAGTGGGGTCTGGGGAGGCTATGCATCACACATAAGGAATTCGGGGAGCTCGGAGTATAGCTGCTCCCGGACCAGCGGGCGCAGAAGACGGCGAGGCAAAGCTCGGGCCTCGCATTCCGGCCACCCCTCAGCTCGTGTCCGCACCCTCACGGACCACCGGCCGAGCTCTGACGTCACCCTCAGCTCCGACAGTCCTCAGTCCCCTTCCCTGAGAGGAAACTACCTCACGCCCAGGACGGGGCCACGAGGCCGATCAGAGGCAAAGTTTTAAGGGCCCCAGGTGGAAGGCAGCCAGTTTTCGATTCTACGTGTTTGGGAGCAGTTTGAGGCTTTCACATCTAGTACTGCTTTAGAGGTCTGAGTGTTTCCATTCGGCCCGCTCACTGGTAGCGGCGGAAGCAGCAAGAAAAAAAACAGCTGAACCCCACCATTAGCGCCAGCGGCGTACAGAACCACAGCGCCTACTACAACGGCCTGGCCCCTTCCGACTCCGCCCCCGTCGAGGCCCCGCTCACCACCCGACAGTGACCTCTGTCCCGGAAGTGGAAGCTGCTGCCGCGGTCGGGAAGCGGAGCTTGTGTTTGGAGAGGGCGGGAGCTCTTTCGCCATGGCGGCCGGGCCGATCTCCGAACGGAATCAGGGTAACTAGAGGGATTCGCCTGGATTTGGGAGGGCCTGGGAGAACCTGACTATCGCCATAAAGGCTTCTGTAAGGGGGGGTGGTTGAATCTCCTCAAGGGGCGCGGGACCGGCCGCGGTGCCATCTAGGGGCGAGGTGGCAGGCTGCCCGCCGAGGCCTGTAGTTGTGATCTTTTCTATGTGCAATTTCTTGCTGCCTTACCACGTTAAAAAACTTTAAAAGTCCGTAGAGAAAAGTGAAATTTTCAGTAGAAGACAATTTTAGACTATGATTCTCCATGTCCTAGAATGAGGATGCTTAGATATTCTTTTATTTAAAGTTTAAGAGCTTGATCCAGCTTCCCCGCCCCCTTGCCTCTTGTTTCCATTTCTACGAACCCAAATTTCGTGCCCTTCCATGGACACCGTTTTCATATTTCTAGCATCTTCTTTTTCTGTTACGCGCTTAGACCTACACTACCGTCCTTCACCTTTCTGCAGATGCTACTGTGTACGTGGGAGGCCTGGATGAGAAGGTCAGCGAGCCGCTGTTATGGGAGCTGTTTCTCCAGGCAGGACCAGTAGTCAACACCCACATGCCAAAGGATAGAGTCACAGGCCAGCACCAAGGTGGGTACACAGCGGGAGATGCACTTTTTTGGTTGTTGGTCATGTTACTAGGAGGGAAAAGGAAAAGGGCATGATGCTGGAAAGGTGAAGGAGGGTCAGTGAAGGAGATGAAGACCCTCTACCAGGTGCATTGATGTGACTGCAGCAGTGGGTTCTCCTGTGTCAGCAATTGTGAGAATAGCACAGGATGGAATGAAGTTCGGCTCTTTTGCTCATCGGGTTGCTATCAGTCCACTCATTGAAGGCTCCTAACAACAACTGATGAAGCAGATGTCCTGGAGGGCCTAACAGTGTCTGCACTGTTTTGTAAGGAACAGCCTGAAGAGTTCTTTCTAATGAACCTGAGCTCACAATTTGTTTCAGGCCCCGTTCTCATTGGATTGCGTTCTGTGCCTAGTGTAGGGAGTTATTCTTCCATTTTGAACCTCTTCACTTGCTAACCTCCTTTCCTCTCCTTCCCCAGGATATGGTTTTGTAGAATTCCTAAGTGAGGAAGATGCCGACTATGCCATTAAGATCATGAACATGATCAAACTCTACGGGAAACCAATACGAGTGAACAAGGCATCAGCTCACAACAAAAACCTGGATGTAGGGGCCAACATTTTCATTGGGAACCTGGACCCAGAGATTGACGAGAAGCTGCTTTATGATACTTTCAGCGCCTTTGGAGTCATCTTACAAACCCCTAAAATTATGCGGGACCCTGACACAGGCAACTCTAAGGGTTATGCCTTTATTAATTTTGCTTCGTTTGATGCTTCTGATGCAGCAATTGAGGCCATGAATGGGCAATACCTCTGTAACCGCCCTATCACAGTCTCCTATGCCTTCAAGAAGGACTCTAAGGGTGAGCGGCATGGCTCTGCAGCTGAACGGCTTCTGGCAGCCCAGAATCCACTCTCCCAGGCTGACCGCCCTCACCAGCTGTTTGCAGATGCACCCCCTCCACCTTCTGCCCCCAATCCCGTCGTATCGTCACTGGGCTCTGGACTTCCTCCGCCAGGTAAGGCTTCTCATTCAAAATATGTTTGTCTCGGAATTAGGGGGACTGAAGGAAAAGGACAGTTGAGTCACTGGATAATGAGATGGGGATTGGGATGGTGGTTGTGGTGAGGAAGAAGTCAGTGGATTTCCTCCAAGAGAAGAAAGTTGTTTTTGTTTATAGCTTTAGAGCTGGGAAGAAAGGGAAAGAGCTCATCTTTTTGAGGCTTGGTTGATACAATTACTTAGAGATACTCTTTTTCTCATTTCCCTTTAGGTATGCCTCCTCCTGGCTCCTTCCCACCTCCAGTGCCACCTCCTGGAGCACTCCCGCCTGGTATACCTCCAGCCATGCCCCCACCACCCATGCCTCCGGGGGCTGGAGGACATGGTCCCCCATCAGCAGGAACCCCAGGGGCTGGACATCCTGGACATGGACACTCACATCCCCACCCATTTCCGCCGGGTGGGATGCCTCATCCAGGTAAGTGGTCTTTGCTGGTAAAGGGAATTTGATAGAGGAGCTGTTACTCTTGCTGCTCTTCTTTGTCCCTCAACAATAGTAGATAGTTCCAGTGCTCTTCATTCTTTTATATAAGCATGAGTAGAAATAATTTGTTCTACTTATCTTAGCTACTTACCTACCTGTTTTTATTTCCTATTTTTCTAAAAAGTAATATGCACTTGCAATTTTATTTCTTGTCACTCCTTTGACATCTACCCCAAAAGTGACCTAATCTAGGGATGATCTCTGCTGTACTCAAAACTGGCTAATGTGTTCTTCTGTTTGAAATTCTTATCTCATTGACTTTTATTTTTCTGGTTCTTGAACATCTTTCTTGTTGCACTTGCACCTAGGATTTTGTGTTCAATTCTATTTTCTGTTTATTTGCATTATTTGCTAATGCTTTTTCGATGGTTATTAACATTCTGCGCTCCTCATCCTCTTGATTAATGGACCTGTTTATGGACCTAGTTACCAATTTGGCACCTCAAAACAAAGATGACTGAAAAAGAACTTAGTTTTACTTTTCCCCTTCAAATATAACGTTTCTTTTAGTAATTTTGTTTTCAGGTGTTTAAAGAAGCAGTCACTCTCTCATTGCTGTTGAGTTGGAACTGACCCTCCAGAGGGTTTTCAGAGGCATTAAATGGCCTGGAAGGAGCTTGCCCAACTTTCTGTCACAGCGCTATTGGTGGATTTGAACTGCTAGAGAAGCATCACTGTTAGGTTAGCAGCACAACTCCTTACAGAGGACTCCACCAGAATCAGGGAGCTGTATTCTTTTATTTTTTTTTTTAT